CCAACCCGTGCCAGCCCCCTTCGTCCCCGCAGCGCAGGACATTACTAGTGGGCAGGGCCGGAACCAGACCGCACGAAAGATAAAGAAACTTCTTCTTCTTCTTCCTTCCGCCTTTTTTCCGCCGTCCCCGCGAATGCCAGCGAGGGGGCGTTCGGTTCGTTTCCATGTGACTGACGCCGTCGACGTGACCGCCAGGCCGCCGGGCGGGGCGGGGCGTTCGAGTGCGATCGCCACAGCCCCTGGGGACTGGGGACTGCGGTTCGGGGCGACCGGTCGAGTGGCGTCACGTGTTGTCTGCCCTCCCCCCCCCTCCCCCAAATGCCACACGTACCGGCCGCATTAGGCTAATGGCTGCGGAGGGGAGGGGGAAGCGGCTTATCATAGGACGGCTAGGCGCGGTAAAACGGGTAGCGAGTAGGCCTGCTACGCGCGTCCGTACACATCTCTCTCTCTCTCTCTCTCTCTCTCTCTCTCTCTCTCTCTCTCTCTCTCTCTCTCTCTCTCTCTCTCTCTCTCTCTCTCTCTCTCTCTCTCCCGAGATAACGCGTGCCGTGTCGTGGGCGGCGTGGGTTTGCAAAGCTGTGGGTCCGGACACTGTTTTAGAGACCGCGCGGCGCGCGACACCACTGTAGACTGATTTCTCCGCAATTCTGTTTTTCTCCTTGAAAAGGACTTTCCATGATTTGTCTGCTCTCCCGCACCCGGACGGCAGTCCCCCGTGAGTGCAAAAGAGACAGCACGACGAAACACTGCCCCGAGCCGCCGGCCGGCCAAACCGCGAGGCGGCCCGAAACCGGGGGGGGCGCAGCTCCCCCGGCCGGGGAAAAATTTTGCACTTTTAACCGGCCCCCGCCACCCGGCGGGCCAAAAACCCGCTTTTTGGGGTTTCCGCACCCAGGGGCGCCCGCGATGCGGGACGGCCGACCCGGGGGGGCCCCGCGGCCGGCCGGCGGGCGGCGGATTTCGCGGCCGAAAAGGGACCCAGGGGGTTTTCGAACCCGGGCGCTGGGAGGGGGGCGGAGCCAAGGGCGCGAGGCCGGTCGGGGCGCGTGTGGGGGCGGCCTCGGCCGTCGCCGCCGTGCGGCCGTGCCCGCGGTCATTGGAGTTTGGTTGGTCGGGGGGCCCGGGCCGCCACGCCCGGGCCGCCTTGCTCGCCGTGGGCGCCGCCCCGCCGGGGCGGCGGGGCGCGGGCGTTCCAACCTTTCGGCTCGGGTTCCCGGGCACCCCCGCGGAAGCCCCTTGGGGAGAATGGCGCGAAAAGCCGGATTCGGAATAATAGTCCGGGCGGCCTCGGCCCCCGCTGCCGGCCCCCACGGCGTCTTGGGGTCTTGGGTCCGCGGGGAGGGGGACGGTCCGGGCAAATGGTGGGGGAAGAACCCGCGAACCAGAGGCCGGCCGCTTTCCCGGGGGGCCAAAAATAACCCCCCCCCGTCCCGTCCCTCACCAGGCGCCGGAAGTGGGGGCGGGGGGGGGCGACTTGCCCCCCCAAAATCTGGTGGGGGGGCATCGCCCCCCCCATTTTCAGACACAAAAGTGCCATTTTGAGCTGGGAAATAGAGAAAAATTATAGCAAAGTCGAAAATTCTTTGATTTTTGGCTTCTTGCTCGCTTCGCTCGCAAGGTTTTTTAAATTTTTCCCCCTTATTTTCCGTTTGGCTCGCTTCGCCCCAATAAAGCGTGGAAAATTTGCTCTAAAAAGGCAAAAGTTGTGTTTAAGTCTAGAATTGTTGAATTTTCGCTTTAAGCTCGCTTCGCTCGCTGGATTTTTAACATTTTAAAGAAGTCTCAAACCCTATTGGGTGTTGCCCCTTAAAAGTAGGCAACCCAACAATTTTTCATAAAAATTTCGCCCCCCCCACCAGAAAGTACTTCCGGCGGCCCTTTCTCACCGCCCGCCCACCCCCCCGGAAAAAGAAATAACAAGGCGGAAAACGGTAAAAACATTCCCTCGGGGGCCCCGGGGCGGGTAAAGCGGCCGGGCCCCGGGCCCGGGACACGGGGAGGCGAGGCCGGGGGGTGGGGCACCCCCGAAATCGGCAAAACTTTCGGCGGAATTAGAAATTTTTTTGGGATATTAAAAAGCCAAAAGGGGTTGCCCCAAAAAGGGGCCCAAAAAAGTGTAACGCGGCCCCCCCCCGGGGGCCCGGGTCCCCGGGCCCCCCCCGGGGGAGCAAGGATTTGTTTTGGTTTTTGGGGGGAACCGGCGCCCGGGGCCGCCCCTCACCGGGGTCGGTTACCCGAAAATTTTTTGTTCCGTGTAACCGAAAAAGGGGCCCCCAAAGTTGCAGTAACGAATAATTTTGGAACGAACATTCCCTTGGGGGCCAAAAAAGTTGTTTAAACAGCGGCCCGGCGAACTGGGGGCCCCCGGTGGTTTGGGCCCCAAAAAATTTTGGACAAAAAATTTTTTTCCAAAAATTTTTTTTTCCGGAATTAAAAACCTTTTGGGGCAAGGTTCCTTTTTTTGTCACCGGACCAGCCCCCCCCGCCGCGCCCGGGGCCCCCCCCCCCCGGCCCCCCCCCCGCACCCGCGTGGGGCCCCGCATGCCCCAGGCGCCCGCCGGGCCCCCCTCCAGTGCACGGAGCCCCCGCGCGGGAACCCAGAAGGGTCCCGTCGGCCTGTCTCTCTCGCACCCACTCGGGACGCACCGCGAGTGCGAGAGAGACAGAGAGAGCTCGCCGTCCGAGAGCGTTGCCGCCAAGCTGACGCGTTGTGGCCCGGGGCCTCGCCCGGGGCGAGGCAAAATGGTGGAGGGGCGGACGCCTTCGCCTTCGTGACTGGAGACACTTCTCGGCCAGTGTCGTCGCAAACAACGGCCACTACAAAGTACAAAGCCTGCCGCTGGCCCGGCTATATGGCACGCGCGGAGTACAAAAAAAGAGGAGGAAAAACTGGAAAGAAAAAAAATTCTGCGCCGCGCACATCAAAGACATTACGAGGCCAGAGATGGAAATAATTTGTCTGGTTCCGCTAGCGCAGCACGCAGCCAGGCTGCGTAGCCCCGCGTAGCCCGGCAGCGAAACAAACGGCCTCTTCATGGGTGGTTTACGGAGCACTTCACTTCACTCGGCAGCACGCGGCCCGGCCGGCGGAGAGAAAAAGGAGAAAAAGAGGGGCCGAGTGAAACAACAGCAATATTCGCGAGCCGATCCGCAACAATGCGGAGCGGATGTCGGCCGCGGAATCCAGAATCCCCGGCGGACTGATTCCGGGCGTCGTTCTCGTCGCTCTGTCTCTCTCGCGCTCATGGGGCGTCCCTTCACGGTGCGAGTGAGACAGAGCGACGGAAATGACTCTCGGAATCAAGTCTGCAGAATCCACAGCCCACGCAGCGCGGACCGGACCCGCAAGCGACGGGCACCGAGAGCGATGCAGATGTGGGCGGCAGAACCCGCCGGGCGGAACCTTCAGACACTGAAAACTGAAAACGAAAATCTGTTTCCATTTTCCGTTATCACCGAGTCCGTGGCGCTGCGCACTTCGCGAAAGTGCGCGTGAAAATAAGAGTCCACCAGAGGACCCTCTCCAACCAAGCCCACGCACAGGCACACCCCCCACTTGGAGGCGGAGTCCAGCAAGGCTGATTCCGAACGGGGGTTTGGACGTTCTGTCTCTCTCGCGCTCGTGCGGCGTGCCGCAGGGGTGCGAGAGAGACAGCGTGCCGGCAGGGCGGCCGGCCACTTTCAATAAGTCACGGCAGGGACGATGATATTCGCAGGAAAAGGTTTTGGCAGGAGCTGCGTGTCTGGTTGGTTAGTTTGTTTTCCTGCGAAGAGGTGCCGCATGCAGGAAATGATATTCGCAAGAATGAATCTCGACCCGAAAATTGACGGGTTGCAACCTATCATAACCTAACCTAACGGGGAAAGACAGATCTTTACCTACTCGCGGCAGATCTTTACCTACTCGCAGCAGATCTTTACCTACTCGCAGCAGATCTTACCCTATCGCGACAGATCTTAACCTAACGCGGCCAAAAAAACTATTTTCCTGCGGATAGCTTTTCCTGGAGCATACCGCCTATTTGCAAGATTTTCCTGCCGCAGGAAAATCTTGGGAATAGACACATCCTCACGGCAGCATTGTGTCTCGGCTCGGCGGCTGGAGGGGAGGCCGCGGCCGAACTGGCGTGGCCGTCGAAGGGTATGGCCCAGGCTGGAGGCCGGGGCGGAATGCGAAAGGCCGGAATGTCAATATCGCTTCAGCGGAACCGATTCCGAGAGTCGTTTCCGTCGCTCTGTCTCTCTCGCACTCATGAAGCGTCCCGTACAGGTGCGAGAGAGACAGAGCGATGAATACGACTCTCCGAATCGGTCTGCTGCTGGCGGCCGAGGCCGTGACGACCGTCGCCCGCCTGGGACTCTGGCCCGGCCCCCCGGGACGTGTCAGAGTCCACACTACAGGTGGCGCCCTGCCCGGCGCCTCGGCCACGCCTTTGAGGACGCCCTCCGGCCACGGCCCTTTGTCGTGCTCCCCGGGGATGCTTTGCCTCGCTTTGCCTCGCCGGCCCGGCGGACCGAACGGCCGGAAAGGCCTCGGCCCCGCTCGGCCCCCACGTGCGCCAAATTTGTGTCCCTCCCTTTTTTGCGCTAGGAACTTCCACTGGAGTGTAAGTTAGCGCCGGGCACGTCGTCACTTCGACGAAGGACTCGGCGGACTGATTCCGAGAGTCGTTTTCGTCGCTCTGTCTCTCCCGCTCCTATACGGGATACGCTCCATGAGTGCGAGAGAGACAGAGCGACGAAAACGACTCTCGGAATCGGTCGCTGGCTGCCGGCCGGGCGGAGCGCCGTGGCGGCGGGCCGTCCCGTTGTGCACGCGTGTCCACCGGGTTGCCTACCCCGCCGTCCGCAGGCGCTCTCGCTCTCGCAGGCTTCAACTTCAGAACAAACGGTGTCCACCCGTCTCTCTCGCACCCACGCGACTTTCCGCAAGGGTGCGAGAAGGACAGAGTGACCCTCTTGCTCATCGTCTCATATCGCTCTGTGTGTGTCCGCAGCCGCGCATGAAGCAGTCCACCTGCCTGTTCATCATCCTGGGCATCTGGACCTTCTCCCTGGTGGTGACCGTGCCCTACGGCCTCTACATGTCCTTCAACGACACCTACTGCGAGGAGGCCTGGCCCTCGGAGAACTTTAGACAGGTTTCAGTCGCAGATTTTCTATCATCAATCACAATTGAACGTTAACGTCTGTTTTTTGTTTGTTTTTGTTTCTTAACTTCTTGGTTTAAGAGTGTCACCATGACAAAGTGGGCCAGAAGACCAGTGGAGGCGGCCAAAATCCCGGACTGGTTTCGAGCTCCAGAGTAGCTAAATGGGACTCAAACCGAACGTGTGACCCCACCAATCGATTGCTCTCCGAACGAGGAATCCAGTGGTGGGGTCGCGGTTCTTGTCCCATTTAGCGACTCTGGAGCTCAAAACGCGTCTGGGATTTGGACCGCCTCCACTGGTTTTCTGGCCCACTGTGCATGGCTGGTTGTTAAAATGGAACAGAAAAGCTTCTGGTCGTAACGTTTTGCGGCGCTGATGAGCTGAAATGACACTCGGTCGGCAGATCTACTCCGGCGTGACCACGGTGCTGCAGTTCCTGGTGCCGCTGGTGGTGATCGCCTTCGCCTACATCTGCGTGTCGGTGCGCCTGTCGGACCACGCGCGCCTCAAGCCGGGCTGCAAGTCGAGCCGCAAGGAGGAGGCGGACCGCGAGCGCAAGCGCCGCACCAACCGCATGCTCATCGCCATGGTGACGGTCTTCGGCATGTCCTGGATGCCGCTCAACGTCATCAACCTCATCAACGACATCCACATGTCCATCGGCAACTGGCGCTACTACAACCTGGTCTTCTTCATGGTGCACGCCCTGGCCATGTCGTCCACGTGCTACAACCCCTTCCTGTACGCCTGGCTCAACGACAACTTCCGCAAGGAGTTCAAGCAGGTCATGTCGGTCCACGAGCTACAACCCCCGCGCACGGCCCACACCCACACACCCACAAGGCCCAACACGCACACACACCCCACACCTCACCCACACACACCACAGCCACACACACACCCACACCTACACACACACACACACACACACACACACACACACACACACACACGACCCACCACCACACACACACACACAACACACAACACGACACAACACCCCACACGCCACACACCGCACACGCACACACCACAAAACCGCAACACCTACACACACACACACACACACACACACACACACACACGACCCGACCGACTTGCTGTGACAGACTGAATACTGACTCAATTATGCAGAGACCGAGGAAAACTTTGGGGCGGGCCTTGGCCAAGGCCTTGGCGGCCATGGGCCCCGCGGCGATCGGGACTCGCAGTGGAGTGGAGTGGAGGACACTTGACATGGCGAGGCGACACCTCGCGACGTCGGCGGCGCGTGTTCGTGCGTTCAGCAGCAGACTGATTCCGAGAGTCGTTTTCGTCGCTCTGTCTCTCTTGCACTCGTGGGGCGTTCCGTTAAGGTGCGAGAGAGACAGAGCGAAGAAAATGAACGACTCTCGGAATGAGTCTCCAGCGCGAACGGGGTGGCGTCAACGCCCACACTGGTAGCGCGTGGGGTGGGGACGACGATGGCGGACCGGGGGGCGCTAAATGAAATTAAATTCCGCACAAACGTGACGGCTGTAAAAGAAATGATTGAAATTGGAATTGATGATGTATTTCGGGGATGCCCTTGTAGCCGTCCGCACCAACCAGAGAGGGTGTTGATAGGAATCAAAAAGAGCAGGTCCTGCACAGTGAATGTGTACATGGCGCAGCACAATTTTGTGCATGCGAAATTTTCCACACAAACTTTGACGCGGGATCTCATATGAATTCGTGTATACAACTTTGTTCGAAAAGCACGCGTAAACTTGCGTTGTGTGAGACCGCGTACTTACAAAAATGGCACAATGAAATTTGGTGCGTGTCGCAAGCGCCGCCGTCGACGCAAAGCTTCGTGAGAGTGGGAGAAGCTTTTTCGACGCGGCCGCGGCGGCTGCGGATCCGAGTCGCGCCACCGCCTCGATAATTAATGGAGCGCCCCGCCCCGCCCCGCCCCGCCCCGCCCCGCCCCGCCCCGCCCGATGCCCCGCCCCGCCCCGCCCCGCCCCGCCCACCAGAGGCACTACTCGTTCTTCGCCGTCCGCGTCGGCAAGGGCGTGAGGCCTGCGTGAGGCCGGCCGGGCGCGGCGCGGCAGTCTCGAACTTATTCGCTGTATTTCTTCGCGCGGGAAAGAAAACGGAGAATGTTATTCCAGAGGGCGCCGCCGCGCTCGCATTGCCCACCGCGGCACCGCGGCACCGCCCTCTGGTCCGGCTCTGGCGACGCTAGCGCCGATCCACTTTGCCGGGAATTTCAAATCGAGTTGCAAATGGAAAGCTTGCCACTTCGGGTTCAAAGATTTCTTTGATCTTTTTTTTTCTCGCGTGATGTGTTTTGCCCTTGGCCACACAGCTCTTACCGAAGCCCCTTAACCCACGGAGAGGCAGGGCGGGACTGCGAGACTTCTCTTCCCTGAAGAGGTTGTCGCGTTGTCGGTGGCGGTCAGGGGACTTGCTACGTCTTTCTGGACGCCAAACTCTGTCGCCGCGGTACCAAGACGGAGGGCGTGGTGCGCGGCCTCTTCTGAAATGGACTGCCGACTGATTCTGGGAGCCGTTTTCGTCACTCTCTCGCCTCGCACCGCACCTCTAGGCGACGCCCCATGAGTGTGGGAGAGACAGAACGACGACAACGACTCTCGGAATCGGTCTGCTGGCGGCGGCGCGCTGTGCACCTACACCACCGTCGCCGCCGCCGGGTTCCTTCGCGGAATGACGCTTAAATTCGTCGCCGTGTCTTGAAGGTGGGGGGGGGGTCGTAAAAACTAGGAGTAACGGGGCTGGAAAGGAAGGAAGGGCGTTCAGACGGAGAGGCGAGGGAGGGGGAGGCGTGCACATGTCAGGGGGATTTGCATGTCATTGTCACGAGCTCTCGCTGCTCTCGCTCGAGACACGCTCAGGTGGCGTACAAAAGGCTGGGCCAGGCGGCGCGGCAGACGGCGATAAGGGACGCCAGGAACCCCTTCACCGACGCACCCCCCTCCCTCCCCCTCCCCACCCCGCACCCGGCCCAATAGATTACCGCCTAATCCAATGAGGTGGCCGGCGGCGTCTGTCCGGGGTCACGGCCTTGAGGTGGAGGGCAACCGCGAGGAAAATGAATAAAATAAATAAATCAGCGAGACTGTCCCTCGCCCCTCGCCCTCTGCGGGCTTCGGCGCTCCGCCACACTGGGGCCCGGCCCCACACTGCAGATTGATTCCGAGAGTCGTTTTCGTCGGTCTCTCCCTCGCGCTTGTGCGGGCCACTCACGAGTGCGACAGAGACAGAGCGACGAGAGCGACTCTCGGAGTCTGTCTGCTGGCCCCCCAGCACGCGCCTCGACGAGCAGCGAGCGGCACGTGGTTGGGAATCAATTCGCCGTTTGCGCGCCAACGCCGCCGAGGGGCCGAGGGGCCGAGGGGGCGAGTCGCCACCCGCGCGGTCTTTGACTTCTCGCGCGACAGGCCGCCGCGGTGGGGGCGGCGCGGGGCGGCGCGGGGCGGCGCGGGGCGGCGCGGGGCGGCGCGGGCGGCGCGCGGCCAGGGCCGCTGGGCCGTCAGGCCGTCAGGGCCACGGGGTGGTGGACGTGATCAACACGGTGATGAGGGCTTTCAAGCCCCGCGCCGCGCCGCGCCGCGTGGCTTCGAGCACCGCGACGACGTCCCGGCGACGAGGCGACAAAAGAGACGCGCGACTTATTTCGCCATGGCCCTCGCCTCGTCCTCGCCTCCCCGCCGCTCAGTTTACATTTAGCATATCATTTTCCAGTCCGTAGACGCCGCCGAGGTGCTTGCCGGGGACGCCGAGGCCGAGAGGCCGCGAGGCCGCGGGGCGCTGTTTGACAGAGTTAAGGCGCGGAGACGACGGGGAGGGTCTTGGGGGCCGCGGGGCGGGGCGGGGCGGGGCGGGGCGGGGCGGGGCGGGGCGGGGCGGGGCGGGGCGGTCGCCAATCCCCTTGATGAATGACGGCGAGCACTCTCGACTGTCCTGACAGACATACGCCGCCGCGCTGTGAACTGATTCCGAAAGTCGTTTTCGTCGCTCTGTCTCTCTCGCACCTGTACGGAGCGCCCCGTTAGTGCGAGAGAGAGACAGTCCGACGAAAACGACTCTCGGAATCAGTCCGCTGCTGCCGCGGCCGGCACGCTCCTCCGGGCGCTCCTCCAAGGCCCCCACCACGCTCCGCCACGCTTCAAAACACGAGCGTGGTGTCCTCGCGCAACCGCCCCACCCGCCCCACCCCACCCCGCCCCACCTCTACAAAACAAGGAGGCAGACGGCCGGGCCGACGCCACGTAGTCCGTCGTCCTGTTCCATTCACCTCCGAGGACTGAAAGTCCAACGGAACGGAATGAATTTATGGCGCGGAAGACGTTTCTTTCAAGTGCCGCCGAGGCGCGCCAAGGCGGGCAGAGGCAGAGCCAGGCCTGCCGGCAGTGGCGGCGTCGCGGAGCGTCGCAGAGCGTCGCAGACGAAAGTCGTAAGCGTTTCGGAGTACCGTAGTCGCGCGTCAGAGACAGTCAGAGGCAGTCAGGGGCAGTCAGGGGCAGTCGGCTACAGTCAGGGACGCCGCCAAGCCGCCAAGGGTTCCAGAGAGCTTGCTCGTGCTTCCGGTTTGGCTGTGCTGCGGCGCCGGGACTCGTCCCGCGGAACTGCACCGCTGGGCGCGCTGCCGCGCTGCCGCCGTGCGCGTCGCGGTCGAGTCGGGGTTAGTGGGGAAGTTGTCGGGCAGCGGGGCAAACGCTGCTGCGGTGCGGCGGTCTCAACACAGACACGGTGCACTCGGCGCGGGGCACGGCGAGGACTCTGGAAGGAGACGGAGCACGGCCCTGCAGTGCACAGGATCGAGAGAGGAAGATCAGGAAGCAGGCAGAAGAGAGGAGGGGGGGGTGCTGTTGTCGAAAAGATGCTGGCGCATGGCGCCATAGGGACAGGGGATGGGGAGGAGGAGACGGGGTGGTTGACGATGACGGGCACTGGCATCCAAATGGAGCGTGGAAGCAATCAGGTGGATGAGTGATGGATCGGAAAAGCGCCCCGTCGAAAGGAGAAAAAAAATGGAAATCAAAGTAAACAATCCTCCTCTTCAACGTCGTCAGACTGCCGTACACAAGACTGAAAAATCACTAACGCCACCAAGCCAAACAACAAACAGACTTGACAGACAACAGAGGGTGGGGATCATCAGAGCCAGCCTCCGCTTGTTGATGTGCTTGACTAACGCCACGGCCGCCCCGCCCCGCCCCCGGGGGCAGTCACCATGGCAACCACGGCCCGCCCCCGCCGCCGCCCCGCCCTGACCTTGGCTGCCCTTGGCTGCCCTTGGCTGACCTGCCCTTGGTGGTGTGCCGCACAGGTGCTGCCGTGCTTCGTGAGGTTCGGCTTGTCGCAGCCGGGCTGCAACGCCGCGTCGGCCACCACTCAGTCCACGGCGCCGTGGCGGTCGGAGGCCGCCTGCAACGGCGGCGGCGCACCGCCCAGGACGGCGTCAGCCAGGGCCGGCCAGGGCGGGGGCGGCCTCCACCACGCCAACCACGGTCACGGCCCCGGCGGCCCTGAGGCCCACGACGCCCTGCTCCCGGCCGCCCCCCGCCGCCCACGCAGTGAGCCACGCAGTGAGGAAGCGCTCTGCCCGGCCGCCGCCGCGCCACCGCCGGCCTCCACCACCACGATCAGAGCCTCCAGGGCCAGCGCGGCCTGCCAGCAAGCGGCGCCGCAGGGGCAGGCCCGGCAGGCCGCCACCGCGCTGCACCAGGTGGGACATTGTCGCGTCGATGACGGCCTCGAGGACCTCGTCGAGGACCTCGTCGAGGACGTTGCCCCGATCTTGATCGATCTTGATCCCCGTCGTGCTTGTCGCTAACGTCACCCCAGCATGCCCGCGTGCTCGCTAACCCTCGCAGGCATTAACCAGAGCGGAAAAATGAAGCACTTTCTACTGTAAAGCTAATTTGAACCTGCAAAATAAGATTTTAAATGGAAGTGTTTCATCGTGCAATAAATAGATAACATCATACGTACCAACTTTAGACCAACAATTTTTCATGGTCACCGCAAGAGAAGTGGAACAAACAACCAACACACACGTCTCGCGCAAAATTTTCTTCCCAGAGGAACTGCCCCCTCTTTCTGTTGGATTTCGAGGCCACCATTTATAGCAGTGTCATTCCCTTCCAACAACTCTCTATTTCTCCCTCCCTATCCGTTCTGATAGCGGAAAAAGTCAAGTCAGAACTGGGCCGCGGGCCGAACGCATAAATAGTAACGTGTTGTATCAAAAGGCCATAAATCAGGGGCATCGGGGCAGCGATCGGTCGGCCCTGCCAGGCCCTGCCACCCACCACGCACGCAGCACGCAGCACGCACGCAGTCGTCGCACGAGCCACGCGCAGCCAACCACGTTCGTTTCGTTTTGACTAATCCCAGAAACTATTGCCCAAAGCTGAGCACAGTGAACAGCACAAATTTTAGATGAGTTTTTTTGCACATCTATAGTTTTTGCACATGTATAGCGTTATTGCTAAATTAGTTATGTTTCCCCCACTGTGCTGAGCTTTCCCATGACAGAGAGACAGCAGACTCTGCGATGGTTGCCTGAGCCCACCGTCCATCTTCGCTTCACTGGTAAAAATATGAAAACAGCTTTGGTTGGTTCTGACTTTGCTCTGGCATTCTTGTTCGGCAGCTGCGCGGCAAGCGGAAGGACCCGTCCACGTCGTCGCCCACCACCGAGGCCGTGTCGTGGACGGGGGCGTGCATGGGCAGCTCCACGAACCTCGGCGACCTGGTGACGGCCACGTACTCCACCGAGGACGGTTCGGTGGAGGTGCACCTGCCGCTGGAGGCCGTGGTGCTGGCCGCCAACAGCTCCAGCCCCACCAGCCCCGTTGGCGTGAGCCCCCCCGGCGTGAGCCCCGGCGCGGCCTCCCCCACCGCCGGCACGGCCGGCACGGCCTGCACCAGCATCGCCGTGGCGCCCCCGGAGCGGCCCCTCATCAGCATCTCCCCGGAAAGCTCGCCCCGGAACCACGCCGTCGTGAGCAGGGCAATGTCCGGGGCCGCGGCGGGGGCGGCGGCGGCGGGGCCCGCACCGGCCATGGCGACTGCCGCCGTCGACAACGGGGCCAACGGGAGCCTCCGTCTCCTGGTGACTTCTGGCAGTGCGACCGTGGCTTAGACGGAGCCGTATGCTGTCTGCGTGTCCAGCAGGAGCGTCGAGGCGTTCGAATGCCAGCAAGCGGCGCTCTGTCCTGCTCTAATTGAAGTTACTCAACTAGCGTTGGGGGAAAGACGATTGGACACACCGGGCATCTGTTTCTTAGTCCCGAAGCATGGGGACCGGTAAAATGGGAGACCAAAAAAGTGGGCTTAGTCGGTAAGAGCGTCGCCCACCGAGAGAAGGACTTGGGTTCGATTCCCAGGTACTAGTTTCTTTTTCTTCGTTATCACATCCCGTACCATCAGTCTGAGTTTTGGCTCCTCTCTGAAAAAGCGTAGCGGTGGCGCAGTGGGCTGGAGTGCCGCCCGCTACGATCGGGACCTGGGTTCGAATCCCAGACGCTTGTATCTTTTCATCAGTTTACCACTTGATTCTGGTATCATCAGTGCAAGTTTCGGGGCTTCTCTCGCACAGCGAGTTGGTGGCTGAGAGGGCTAAGGCGTCGACTTGCACGGGAAGGGATCGGGTTCAAGTCCCGGGGGCGTCGAATCTTTTCCTGAGTTCGGTTCCCAAGTCCTGTACAATGGCACTCAGATAGGGTGGCTTTACAAGACGTGGCACCATGGCTCAGTTGGCAGAGCGACGTATTTGAGGGCGGTGCCACAAGAAGGACTTGGGTTCAACTCCCAGGCGAAGCGAGAGAGAGGAAGACGCTGGCACAAGGGCTTGGGTTCAACTCCCAGGCGGAGCGAGAAGGAGGAAGAAGCTGGCATGAGAGGGCTTGGGTTCAACTCCCAGGCGAAGTGAGAGAGAGGAAGAGGCTGGCACAAGAGGTCTTGGGTTCAACTCCCAGGCAAGGTGAGAGAGGGGAAAAGGTTGTCACAAGAGGACTGGGGCTGATTCTCAGGCAAAGCAATGATGATGCAGAAATTGGCGAGAGAAAAACTTGGGATAAGGTAAGGTAGTGAAATAATACTGTGCCAATTAATTATACCTCGTTTTTTTGTCAAGTTGCTGACTAGAATATAATTTGCGATGAACTGATACACAGAAGAGGCCGGCTGAGTTCTTTTGTAAACTGAAGTATATCTGCATCAGCTCGTGGTAAAATTTGTATGGACAAAGACGATGACCACAAAAAATGGTCGTAATTTTAATGTTTTCTATTGCCTGTTTCACTGGCTCACCTTGCCCGGGGGTTGAAGTAAAGTGCCTCATTACCAGTGTTTTTCTGTCCCGATTTGTCTCGGAGCTGAATCCAACTTTGTTACTGTCGATGTCTACCTCTACTCGGCTTGCCTGGGAGTTGAACCCAAGTCTTCTAATGCTAGTCTGTTCCTGTCTCTCACTCCGCCTGGGAGTTGAACCCAAGCCCTTGTGCCATCCTCTTCCTCTCTCTGGCCACACCTGGGGCCACACCTGGGAGTTGAACCCAAGCCCTCCAATACCAACCTCTCCTTCTCTCTCACTTCGCCTGGGAGTTGAACCCAAGCCCTCTTGTGCCAACCTGTTCCTCTCTCTCTCTCTCTCTCTCTCTCTCTCTCCGCCCGGGAGTTGAACCCAAGTCCTCTAATGCCAGCCTCTTCCTCTCTCTCACTTCGCCTGGGAGTTGAACCCAAGCCCTCTCATGCCAGCTTCTTCCTCTTTCTCGCTCCGCCTGGGAGTTGAACCCAAGCCCCTGTGCCAGCCTCTTCCTCTGTCTCGCTTCGCCTGGGAGCTGAACCCAAGTCCTTCTTGTGGCACCACCTTCGTATACGTCGCTCTGCCAACTGAGCCATGGTGCCACGTCTTCAAGAGCCACCCTATCTGAGTGCCATTGTACAGGATTTGGGAAACGAACTCAGGAAAAGATTCGAGGTCCCCGGGACTCGAACCCGACCTCTTCCCGTGTGGGTCGACTCCTTAGCCCATTCAGCCACCATCTCGCTCTGAGAGGGGAGCTCCGAAACTTGCACTGATGATACCAGAATCAAGTGGTAAACTGATGAAAAGATACAAGCGTCTGGGATTCGAATCCAGGTCCCGATCGGAGCGGGCGGCACTCCAGCCCACTGCGCCACCGCTACGCTTTTTCGGAGATGATTCAAAACTCAGACTGATGGTAACGGGATGCGATAACGAAGAAAAAGAAACAAGCGCTTGCGAATCGGACCAAGTCCTTCTCTCGGTGGGCGACGCTCTTACCCACTACGTATGCCACCGGTCCGCCTCCTTCGGGTTTAAGAAAGAGATGCCGGTGCCCAATGGTCCTTGGTATTTAGTGTGGGAATGGCACTACCCGTGACGCTAGTTGAATTTTGGAGTCAAAAGCGTGTAACTTAAAATGTTGTCCCCCCTCCCTCTGGGTTTAACTTGAGGGGACCCCCCCCCCCTTTTCCCACGGCGTCGACGCCCCTGGTGTCTAGTCCCAGTCCCTCCCACGCGCAGATGCGAAAACTGTGATTTCTAGGTTTATGTTGTACGCTATATTTGAGGCATGGCAAAAAAGAAGGTGGGACATTGTGCGCGTAACACGTAACATTCAAACAGACTCTTCTCTGGAAGTTACGTGGGTAGGTCTAGAGTGTCGTGTTGTTATCATATAATTGGTGTAAATAGGTCTCATATATAGTTGTCTTGTTAGAGTTGACATGACTTAGGGCTCGTGTACATAGCGCGTGATGGTGTCTTCTCCAGTTTTCTTGTGATTTGTGCTCAACATATGATGTTTATCGCATGCCATGATTGTAAAGTTACTGGTAGTTTTTTGTAGTTCCCTGTAAAGGTCAACTCCAGACTGACTTTGGTTGCGATCTGAACTGTGCCCCAAACCAACCAAAATCAGCATGGACTTCCCTGTCAGGTCTATGCCTAAAAGAACTGTGCAGATTTTAGTCTTAAAAACCCTTAATTGTAGAGTATACGTGATTCTGCTGTAGTTTTTTGCTGCCAATGAAAATTTAGCCCTTTAAATGTGATTCTCAAAGTTAAGTTTTATGCTCTAGTGTTTGATTGGTAAGACAAATGATAATTGTACTCCTAGTGATTTAGGTAGTGATTTAGGTCCTCAAGCTATTTTCACCATAAGAATCATTCATGCAATTTCAGAATGCTCATGCAAAAAAATTAATAAAATTGTTACCAAAAAAAAAAAAGGAATTTATGCACTTCTTAGTTTTTGTCAACTTCACCAATGTTTTCAATGAGGAAGCCTCCCTTACATTTTGTTTGGTCTTTCGTTCCTTCCTCTAAATATTAATGAGGCTGTGTCACCTCAAAAATATTTACAATGGTTACACCAGCAACACTTTTAAGTGGAATAATTGTTCAGTGACAAATAAAGTATAATAATAACAGCTACTTTCATTTAAACCCCGACTGTGAATACATACAATTTTCAGGATTTGAGGAAAGAATCAACCATATAAAACATTTTGCGGGGCAAAATCTTTTATTGAAACTTCCACATCAGACAAAAATAACACAAAATTTCACAATAGCAGATTCAAGAATATCAGTCATAGATAATCTGCTAAAGCACCAAGAATGAAAGATGAAGATACTTCCAAGACGTTTTAAGTAAAACATACAGGCCTTTGGAAAGGAAGCTGAAAATTTCTGCACAGAAATCAGTCACATATCATAAAGCTTCTCAGTTCATCAAAGAATATAGCTGTCAGTTTAACGTTTCTGATTAATTGTTGCACATGCTCAAACAGTAGAGTGGTCGAAGTAACAACTGCACTCAAAAGGAAAATTAAATACTGCACTAAGTAATTTTAAATTAGTTAAGTAGTCAGAAGATAGACTATCACATTCAAATCTGACTGAGAATGAGGTATTGCACACTGCATGGCCACATTTTGCAACTGTACATGCTCCATGGCAAGCCACATGGCACTGCTCATCTTACAGACAAATACCTTACTACAAATGACTCGACTTCATGAGCAAACCCAGATACCCACACACTCACACAAAAAAAAATCAACATAGGAGAAATTGTAAAATCACTAGATTTAAAATACAAGAGATATATCACCCCAATATGAGGATTGAGCAGGTTGTGTATAATAAAATAGGAGAACTGGTCATATTGAAGGAAACATAAAATTTTCCTTCGAATAACACTTAAACTTGTGCACAGATGCAATAATATGAAGTCAATGGGTTGGTTAGATATCAGTTGTCCAGTCCATTAGTGAACACAATTTAGAATAAAATCCCCGGCTGGGCAGTCAAAAAAGGTCTACAACTAATTAATACAGGGAGCACTCCAGAGCCCACATAAATGAATGTGGACTGGTTCTATTGAATGGATGAGGTCAAGGCAAAGTGGCCTATTTAGGCAGACTGCCAAAACAACACTAAAATTTTGTCTTGAAATATAAAATGCAGCATGATTCTACCTGTTATCAGGCAATAATAAAAAGGACAAAAGTACAATACTTTTAAGAGGGAAACATGAACACTGAACACAAGCATTTACAAATGTTATGTTTAAAACTTTGTTCAATGTAAATTTCAGAAAGTTTCCTAAAAATGAAAAAGAAAAGGAAAAAGGTATCTTAAATCCTATGGCACTTTATATTAGCCATAGATAACTGGTTTCTAATGCAACTGTTACAAACACTTCGACATTTTGTACTACAGTAGCTATAATTCATAATCATCAAGAATGATAAAGATGACAGTAATTTTCAGCCTCTTACATAATCACAGACTTTCTTTTTTTGTTGTGGTTTTTTTGTTTATAAGAAAAGAATTTTGCTGTTGAAATGTTCAACATCAAAGTCTTCAAATTTTCTGAGATGAATAGGCACTTGGATACCAAACAGGCATAACAAAAAGGGTACACATCAGAAAATTCCATAAAATAAATACAAATAAATGGGGCAAACAAATGTCAAAAGTTTACAATCCATTAAAGAATCTTGAAATACACAGTATGTACTATAATAACTTTACTCTCATTCCAACATGCCATGCCATATCAGTTAAATCTTACATAAGATGCAATTTTACAAACATACTTACATTAAATGCTACCTACTCCAAATATGACTGTGTACCCACATGCAGAAGCCAATGACAACATGAGAGAGGTCAACTATCTTACAAAAAACATACTTCTAAGTTTCACATCAGTTGATCAAATTATTATCTTTCATGCACTAATTGAGGGCACATACAATGATTTAATCTTAACAATTTAATATACAGTACAGTGCTGTCTCTGCTCTCGTCTTCTAAACACATCACCTAAGACTTGCACAGTATCATCAAGAAGTGAATCTAAAATGGCCATGGCTACATTATTCTTTACAACAGCTTCATCCTGTTCATAATTCGTCCACTGACGCTCTTCCTCCTGTGACTCCCGGACCAGCAATTCATCAACGTGATCCCTCTTCTTTCTGCTCCATCTGATGGTGAGGTTCTCTTTGCTTGCCTTTGGTACAAATCCAAAGAGAACTAATACTTGTTTGGACACAACTTCATGCAGCATTTCCTTGGTCTTAGGAACAACTGTGAGAGCCCTCCGACGGCGAACTACATTGTCAGGGCGCAGCCAAGGAGGGCTGGGATCGTCAGCCTCACAGCTGTAAGCATTCACAACTAGTTCTTTGGCCAGATCAAACAGAAACATTCTATAAACCTTCGCATTATTCCGGTGAACTGTCAGCTCCTGAAATAGAACAACAGAAATTAAAAAACATTTGTTATGGATGGAATCATTTTCTGCAAATGAGAAAAGCTTGCTCATACCTCTTCTGAAAGATGGGAAGGACTAGGAAGCCCAAATCCTACTTCTTCAAATGAGGAGGGAGCTTCAAGACTCAGAATGTCCAATCCCTGAGAACGAGCATCATACAACAAATCCACAGCAGTGGAAATGGCCTTCAATATGATTGGTCGATCAGTGCACACTGCACAAAGTTCTTCCACATGGGTTGCAAGAGAGCTAGATGAAGAGAGAACGCGAGGTGCTTGCCCAGGTGGAGTGTATGGTGGAGGAGGTTTGTTCGGGATTTCCCGAACATAATAATAGGGAATCTGTTCCTGCACTTGAGCTTGCTGCTGTTGGAGCTGTTCAATCTGTCACACACAAAAACAAAAACGTTCAGAGCAAAGTCACTGAATGAATGTTCCTGGAAATGTTTAAGTGGACTACCTCTTGTTCAATTTGAAGCTGTTGCTTGCGTAGTTCTTCTGCTTCCCTTCTTGAGCGAGTCAAACCAAAGTCTTCATCGAACCATTCTTGAGAGCAGCCCTCACTATCCAAAGCATTTTCTCCCATCAAGCCCATAGGTGCATCACTAGCCTGAAGAAAAAAAGAAAAAGTGATAAAATAAATTTAGAAGTAAAAATAATGCCACAGGCCACAGCTCAAATATTATTATAAGGTTTTATTATAAATTTTACCTCTCCAACATTGCTTTTCATTGCACTTGTTTCAGCCATCTTATTATATGTTGTATCTGCATCTTCATTAGTAGAACTGTCAGGTAATTGTTGCACTGGCGAGCTTGCTGTTAACAGAAATGAAAGAAAAGTTAAATTGTTAAATTTAAATCCTTCACTGCACAAAAAAAAAAGCAGACAGATATTGACATACATGGACTAGGTGAAACACAGGGGGAGTCATCAGGAGACAAAACACCATAGGTGGTTGTCATCATTTCCTTGATATGGCCCTCTGTGCGCAGTTTGGTAGGGGTCTGAGTCTCAGCCAAGATTTCATTCACTCTTTTTCTCACATCTTTTGACTGATTTGAAGTGGAGTTAAGCCTTTTCTTGTAAATACTCATAATGTCAACAGTGGCTTCATCAAGAGAGGTATTTAAAACTTCATTCCACATTGCATCCTGGGTAGGAGTGTGGGTGGGAACCGCTGAACGCAAACATTCATTTAAAAGACTCTTCATTATATCATTTGTAACAGAGTCCACAAGAGACTGGCGGTTATTATCTGTATCCAATGATTGGCGAGTAGTATCGCTTTTAACGGAGATCATATCATGGCTCTCTTTTTCCTTCTCTTTCATAAATACTCGGATCACATCAGACTCAGATTCATTGTCTGCTGCAGGGCCTTGGTCTTCTTCAATAATTTCACTGACATCATCCTGTTCTTCACTTGAAATACTCTTCATTTGCTCCACAGACAGAGTGGCATCACCATTGTTGTCTACAGCTTCTTCAAAAGCGTGTGCTGAGGCAACGATATCTGTATTTGAGGCACTTACTCCTTTGGAATCTTTAGAAGTTACCTCAACTTCCTTCACTATGATAGAATCCAGGAATTTATTTCCCAGTTGTTCCTGATGAGGAGACTGAGTTTCAGATTTCTCTTTAGGAACAGGGGATAGGTCTTCAGCTGTATGGCTGTTGTCAACATCTCCTTCCATTTTGAGTCCAGACTCACTTCCGTCACTTATGGCCTCCATCGTACCTTCTTCTTTATTTGATGTGGAATCGTCTTCAATTTGTGGCTCTTCTTTAACTTCCCTATTTGCAACCAAGCTAGGGGCATCTTGTGAAACCAAACTGCTGTTTTCTGATGCTTCACTGGCAGATTCACTTGCAACATCACTAGGTACTTCACTGGGCACTTCACTAGGAACTTCGCTTGGTACTTCACTGGGCACTTCACTCGTAGCCTCGCTTGCAACCTCACTCGGGGCTTCACTGACCACTGTGCTGATTCCCTCACTGACTTCTTTGAACTCTGTTTCACTAAAATCTCTTCTGAGACTGACACTTGCTGTTTCGGGACTTGTTGGCAAAGGTAACGAGCGATCCGCTCCAGGAGTAGAGGGTGGGTCAGCATCTTGACAAGGTCGCCTTGATGCCACTTTGCCTGGGGCCACTCTAGGTTGTTTTATTTGTGGCCGTACAATCGGCACACTTGACTGCTTCAACTCTGCCTCCAGATTGTGTCGCAACTGGGAAATGTAGGACTCGTAAGCCTGAAAATAAAGTTGTAACAGTTAGCTGAATAAAAATAAGGTGTGCATAAATTTGAGCGTGAAAGAAAATAAACAAGGTAATGGATCCAAATCCTTAAGGAAGTCCTTTCAAAGTTACCTAGAGTAAGTGAGAACAAACATAGCCTCTCTCAGCCACAAGAGAATCATGGTGCAGTCATAACCATCAACAAGAGAGAGAAAATAGAAACCTCACAGATAATAATAACCACAAAAAGTTTTAACTGAACAAACAAATGGAAGACACAAAGCATCTGGTATTATATTGTGACCAACTAATTCTGCTGGTCATATTGCACAGACTTTGAAACACTTCAAAATAGAATCTGATATTGAAGAGAAACTCATTGTCCGAAAGGTTGTGACAAATCTTGTCAAGAGAGTTTTATCTGAAGGATTTGCAAGAAATTTTAACATGCTCTGCTTAAGAGAGCACAGGCCCACAGTCAAGACCTGACAGCAGGAAGGAAAGAAATCTATTTTTATCCTGTTTATTGTCACACTCAGAGCATGCTCAGAGGCTGTCAAAGACTTGGCACCAGCAACTGGAACTGTGCCAGCTGGTACCAGTGCAGGCTCAGTTCATCAACCTAGCCCCACATAAACAAACAGCACTACAGGTATCCACTAAAACTAGTTCAAATTAAAACAACTCAGCCAGTTTCAAAAATTTTTAGTGACTTTGACACTAACCTGCAATTGTTTATGAAGAGATTGCTCTTTGGCAATCAAGCGTTCATTGCGTGTCCGTTTTGCTTCCCTCCTGAGCCTCTCTGCTTCTGCTTTGCATTGATGCAGCTGTTCTGAGAGGGCAGATATTCTTCCTTCGATGTCACTTTGCTCGGAACCAGTTTCTGTCAATGAGAAAAAACATTAGAGTTCACATAAAACTGAAAGAAAGAAATGGAAAAAAAGAGACATTAAATTGAGTATGTACAAACCTGTTTGAGACAATACCATGGAGTCATCTGACCCACTAGAGTACCTCCTTCGTTGCACTCTCTGAAGACGTGGAGAAAGAGGAACCTTTATGGTAACACCAGGATATTTATTAGAGCGCTCAGACATTCTGGGAAAACGGGCTTCACTGTCGGAATCAATTTTAAGGGGTGGCTGAACTTGCTCCTTCTGACTACCAGACTGTGCACCATTTTGTAATGTTGTTTGAGATTCCATAGTCTTTACATCTGACACCTCTAATTCAAAACTTTCATTGGCATACTGTTCCAAGTTGGTTCCATCTAAAGTTGAGTCACCACTGGTGAAAAAAATGAACAAAAGATATGAATACATTCATCCAAATTTTTCAATGTACTTGAACATTTTGAAAGTAAATAAATTATACTGTTTACCTTGGTTTACTGTTTGCATCTCCTATTTCTTCTGGAATGCTGGAGTCTATCTCTTCCGTGATGCTAGCACTCCCACTTGCACTGGTGGCTGTATTAACATCAGTATTCCGGCCACTGCGAGAAATTTCAGAAATACTCCTGCCATTGCTTCCATTGACATTTGTCGTGGTTCCTGAGGAACCATTCTCCACAAACTGGAAAGGTGATGTGCTCCGATCTACAGGAAAGAAACATTCAGCATCATCCAAGACGACACAAAACATTGTAAGAATGCAAAGCAATGGGTAAAAGAATGTTTCAATGTACCTCTGAGCACATGTTTTGTCAATGTGGATCGGTGCCTCGAATGTGCCTGTCTCTCAACATCCCTGAGTCTCCTTTCTTCATCTTCCAATTTTCTTCTCCACTGAATAATTTGTTCAACAGATTGCTTTCTTTCATGAAGTACTTTTTCTCTCTCTTTCAAATTCCTACAAAAGTAACAGAAACTTTAGAAGAAGAAGCCCTATTGAACTAAAAACGTAATGTTTAAACAGGACACACCTGCAGCGGCTTTGAAGTTCACTCAATCCCTTTAATACTCTGTCCTCGAGATGAGAGGATTCACTGTCGCCTGCACCACCTGCTCCATTGTCCCCTGCACCTCCCACTCCAGTAGCACTGCCATTGCTGCCCACACCACCAGTAGCTCGGTGGCTGGAATTGCTCACTGCAGACGATTTAGATCCGTCACTGGCAAGAGAAGCCATGGAGACAGAACTGGATTGTGTTACGCCTAATCCAATTGGTGTCTCCGTGGGGATGAGGTTCTGTTCAGGGACTGTACTTTTCACAGCACTTTTCCCAACTTTGACATCCGGAATAGTCTTTACAACAACTTTACTTTTCTGAAGAAAAGGGGAAAGGGAGAAGGTTGAATTCATGTTAAGAGACACATCATAAGCAATTAAAGATAGAAGAAAAAAAAAGCAGAAGTTCATAAAAAGTAAAAAGAAAATATACAGGGGAAAATTTACCTTTGGTATGTTGCTGCAACCCTTTTCAAATTTGTGGAGCATTACTTGAGTGGAAATTTGCATTCGAATCAAATGCATTTGTTGGAGGTACATGAGACGCCTTTCTTGCCATGCCAATTCTTCTGTTCGCCGAACCCTGATAAGAAGGCACACATTAAAAATGCTACAAACCAAAAGAATTGAAGAGAAATAATAAAATATAGGAACCAGGATGACGTCTTTTTTACCTTTCCAGTTCTTCCCGCTGCTGTTGAAACCTGAGCATTACCCCTCTTTGTTTCTTTCGAAGAGCAGTCATTTGATCTTTGTGGCCATCTTCCCCCTTTTCTCTAAGTTTCTTCTTGTCTAGATCGAGGGCTGCTACTTCGGTTCTAGCCATTTCACCTAGAACTTTGACTCTCAATTTAAATAATGTGTTTCTATGCTGCACTCGAAGTTCTTCTTCATGCATTAGTTGTTCCAACATTTGCAAGTTAAATTGGAACATATCCTCCCCAGTAATCAGGGTTGGGAAAAGACGGTGTTCATGGGACTGAAGCGAGTCAATAACAAGGGCATCATCTCCTAAATCAAGCAAAAAAGAATATTAGAGTCAATAAAGGAACATCACAGGAGTAAAGCAAAAATCTAGAATTAACGGAAATACGGTCATACCTGTAAAACTGGAGTCAGCTTTAATAGAGTTGAGAGAAAAATCAACAGAAAGAGATCCATCAGCCTTATCTAATTTTTCAATATCCTGTGTCACTTTGGAGGCACTCAATAGCTCATCTAACTCTTCACTTGGTTTATCTTCCCTACTAGTGTTCGAAGTGACATCATTCAGTTTTGGGGAAGTCTCATCAGGCACCGAATCAGACATAGTATAAATATCCTCAGAAACGCTCTTCTCGGCCGAATGACCTGAATGTTCAACTGGAGAGGCCTTTTCATTGTTTGCACTTTGTGAAGGACCAGATTCTGAAATCTTATCTTTCACAAATGACCCCAATGATTCTGAAGCATTAGTAGATGATGCCAATGAATGCCCATCTTTTAAGGAAGGAGCAAATGGCACGCTCTCATTCAACGATTTCACATCAGCTCCATTGATTGTATCGGCATCAAGCAGTGTAATGTCACTAGGATCTCCAGAACCACGCTGGTAATTTATAGTTGAAATTTCAGGACTAGGTTTCAAAAGGCTTCTCTGAACATCAATGCTTTTGTCCTCAGTTGGTACAGGAGCACTTTGATGTTCCGACAAAGCCTGATGGCGAGCCATGGCAACTGCGCGAACCTTTTCAACTTCCATCACTTGACACAGAGATTCGTTAAATGAATCAAGTATATTCAGCTCAGCTTGAAACTGGAGGTGCAAAGCAGTTGGATTGAAAACTTGCCCAATTTCAAAAGTACTTTTTGATGAAGAAGATTGTTGCAAAGAAGACGAGATTTCATCCACTTGATTGTCAGCAACATTGGCACTGCCACGTGCATGAGTAACCCAACTATCAACATTTCCTGGGTTTCGGTCCTTTCGCCCTGTGGCTAAATTTACATTTGGAGGTACAAGTGTACTGCTTGGAACACCATTGGGAGCAGATGTTTTTAAATTAGATTCATTCAACCCGTTCAGTTTTTCAGCATTGTCTTCTTCGAACCTGATAATGGATTCTTCCTCCTCCAACGCAGGTTTGTTGTCAAAATTGAGTTTTCCTTTATTCCCAAATGAGGTTGGTCTCACTAGTTTCAAAGAAGTCTTAGCAGGAGTATTTGGAGCAGACAAAGGCTTTTCCGCTGGAGTGATGTCATTACTGTTAATACTCATAGGATTCAGAGCTCGTGCAAACTCAGCTTGCATTTCTTCCAAATTGAGAGCATCCAACATTGGAGACTTCAATGAGACTGCATTTCTGCTCATCTTCTTGTCAAAGTGGTTTCTTCCTGATTTGAAGGAGTTTTGGTCAACAGTCTCTAGTAAATTTTGGGGGAAGAGTCCAGCCTTTGACCAAACTCCAGAGCCCTGTCCTGGCTCAGTGGTGCCTCTCACAGTAATGAAGGGCGGCAAATCGGATGGAAGATCCAAGGCAGGGTATTTAGAGGAAGACTGGCCATTCCCAGACTCTTGCTCAACTGCACTTCCTTTGGGTTCAAGTAGAACAGAAGTGACAGGTTCTAACAATTCATCAACTTTAACAGAGCCACTCATTTTCCGCTTAACAGCCGAAATAAAATTGATTGGATAGGGCTTAGAGGCAAAAGGCTCAAGCCAATCTGAGCAATGATCCTGATAAGGAAGGATAAGGATAAGACAAGGCACGGAGGAAAAAGTTATTTTGTGTTTTCACTATCCTTCAATTCAAATGTGCTTACCTCTGGACTAGTGTGTGATGTTTGCCCATTTCCTTCAGCGAACAAGGTCTCTTTTGGAACTTTGGCAGCCGGTGTTGAATGTATTAAAGTCCCACTTCTTGTTTCCTTAATATTTGTCTCTGTAAGCCAAAGTATATCAAAAAAAGAAATTAATATACATGTGTAATGCACAAAGGATTACCTTTGAAAATGTACAAGAAAATGTTGCAGTAACTTACCATATGCACCAGTTTCAGAACTTGTACTCAAATATCGTCTCCTCTCAAAGTTGATATTTTGGGCTTCAGCTAAAGGAAGAGTTGGGAAACTTGTAGCTATCTGTTTCTTTTCAAGGCCATTTGAAATGTGTCTCTCCAGAGATTGAACTCTGGTTTTACCAGCTTCAATTTTCAAAGCTTCAAAGGCTGTATTTGAGCCAGCACTTGAAAACCGCCGATGCCTGGGAGGGTGTGGTCGATTTACTCTTGTTCTTTCAGAGGATGCTGAAGAGGCTACTTCATTTTGTGACAATAAGATCTGTAGTGATTCTCTCATTTTCCGCAAATTTGATGTGAGATTTTGAAGATATGGAGAGTTAATATTTGGTTCCTCCAGGCCATCATGGTCAGGGACCAGCCGTTTGTATCCATTGGTCACAGTAGAAAGGTGATTGGTGTTACTTGCAGAAGGACGTTTGGTTACATATGAGTCAGTCACATCAGATGACACACCTTCAATTCTTTTGCTTGATAGAGGTTGTGACTGCAGTGGAGCAGAATCAGCTTTAACTGACTCGAGTCTTGTACTAGAAGATTTACCAGATTTAGCACGATTGGATATAATAGTTGTTTTTAAGGACTTGGCCATCGCTTCAATTCTCGTCTTCATCTCACATATGTCATTAATAAGCTGAGCATTTGAATCATCCAAGGGGGGTGGTACATTTGAGACAGAAAATTGTTCAGGTAAGTTTTGATGAAAATTCTCAGAAAACCTATTTGAAGATGCATTTTGGACAGGAATATGAGGGGCCTCAACACCCATACCTGTTAATTTATTATCAATAATGTTAATATCTCTTCCTGGCTCCATTACTTGATCTTCATTTACATTGAGATTGCCTTGGTTTGGTTTCCGTTTTATGCTGGCCTTAACAAGTTTCAATGAAGTTTTGCTCAGCTCATCAAGCTTTTGTTTTCGAGCCAAGAGGTCAGCTCGTTGGCGCTCTCGTTCTTCCCTCAGTCGGTTCAATCTCTCCTGCTTTTGTTGACGTATATATTCTCTCGCTTTTTCAGGATCATAGCTCCTTGACTTGATAGGAGGCTTTAAAGGTCGATTATCTTCAAAATCCAAACTATAGGATGTTCTATGGACACTGTTAATACTTGATGTACTGCTTTTCTTGGAATCATATTTACTATTTTTTAAAATATTGGCTGCATCATTTGATGACTCCTTCATAAGTCTTGAGGAGGGAAGGGGTCTTTTAGACCACGTTCCTTTAGAAATAGAGGAACCATCACGTTCACTGTGGGTGATGTGACTCTGTTCAACAGGAGAATCATTTTCTTTGCTGTTTTCATTATTGTCAATTTCTTCTTTGGAGATCCTTTGTAGAGTTGGAATGTCTAAACCCGCAAGATCTGCCATAATTTTCTTCAAGCCGCTGTGCAATTCTTCCTTGACATGAGAGGGATGGTTCACTCTTCCTGATTCCTTGGGTAACTGCACAAATTCGTCAGCATTTTTTGAATCAGAATTCTCTGTCGCAATATGGTTTTGACTAGACTGGGAGTTGGGTTTTAATTTCTGCGATTTAAAATTTACACTATTTGATTTAAGAGAGGCCAGACTGCCTTTGATCCTATTTTTGTCTGGTTTCCTTAATCCATTAACTGCGGTCGAAGTGGAGGAAGCTTCAGAGTTTCCAAAGACAGAGCTACCTGCCATGCCTATTCCTTCCTGTTTATTATTGAGGCCCTTCTCATATCTCTTCCTTTTAGAGAAATGGTTTTCCTCTCCACTCTCTACCTTGTTAGTTTCATTGCTACGATGTTTAGGGGCTGCAATAGAGATGCAAATGAGTTAGAAAATAAAGAGACAAATTAGGTCTAATAACGAAAATAGTTGGAAACAAAGATGTTTACCTCTTGGCAAAATTGGATAAGATGAGGGAGGGTCTGGCAGTTGAGCTAGTTTTACAGTGTGTCCTTGTTGATTGACATACACACGAACAGGTTCTTGTTTGGCAGTGTCAGTATTATTTTGAGATGCCTCTCTAGAATAAGACAGTGCATTGTACTGCAGAGGAACAGAAGCGACTCTTTCAAACTGAGTGTGCTTCGCTAAATCCAGTTCCAATGTTCCATCTTCCTGAATTGGTATGGGGTGAGGTGAAGCAGGCGGGGCCCCATGGCTCCAGCCAATATGTGTCGTATCTACCTTATGCTGAGCTGAAGAATTAGATGGGAACTGCAACTTTGAGCTCCACATTGCTGTAACAATAAGTAACATGCTAGAAGAAGTGTCTTTATCGCAAGAACAGATGACACATCATAACCATTTTGACTAATTAATATTAAGTCTGAGTGAATGAAAGACACAGGCTTGAACTCATCACACAAATGTGAACTAAATCGATAGGTGCATGGTAAATAAGGTCTTTTTAAGACAAATTTACGATTGATTTAAACATTACACGCAAAATAGATTAATCGTGGCATATGCCATAGAGTTTATGATAACATAACCTCTGCACGATGGGCCAAATGCGCACCGGCAAAATAAGACAAGAATCAAATGACAAAACGAAACTACGAGTTACTCATAAGACAAGAAAAAGGGCGAAAAAGATCTTGATGGGTACCCTGGCGCATTTAACAGCAAAGAGCAAAGAAGGAATTCAAAAAATTTGAGGCATTCTTTCCGTTGGTTCGTATTGACGTTCGTTCTGTTTGGAAGGAGTCCTCCCAAAAGTCAACTCACAGTTGGACCAGTATGAAGCTTTAGTCTGCACTGTTCGTCACTCGATGGCCAGGAACCTTGCACTCACTTACCATATTTAAATGAAAGAAAGCAGTAGTGGCTGTATCGGAACGTTAAGTTCTGTTATTTGTTTTCTTATTTTGGCCGAGGACGAGAGTCGAACGGTTTGTTTTGAAAAGCAGAACTAGCCCCTGGGCAGAGATTCACTCTCGGGTGCAGGGTTAGGTTATGAACGAATTTTGGTGCAGTACATCGTGCACGCAGATAAAAATTAGTTTTTAACCATGAACTTGTTTTTGACGATGATTTTTCATTCGTTTTCCGTTTGTCGCCCGTTCCTGAACCTCCCGCCACGACTCCACGCGCGCGCGCGGCGTCGCTTGGCCTTCGATATCTCGATATCGAACCAGCGTTGCCAGATGGCGGCTAGAGGCGCCATCTTTCGAAATCGCGCGTGTGACGCGTCACGACAAGGGGAACAACTTCTCCAGTGTTCAAGAAAAAGGTTGCAGCACTGTGGCTGTGGCTCTCAGCGATTCTCATCGGCTCTTTCTTTTGAAATTTCTTGAAAGGATAGTCATCAGCAAAACAAGAAAGTTCGCTGGTAAAAATCACAGTTCCGAAACGTGATTATTCAGAAACGAGGCATGTCTGCAGATTACGACGGCCTAAGCCATCCTTTCATTGCCAATAGATTTGCAAGCGAGGAAGCTGTGCCTCTGTGAGGGTCCTTTCCATGCGAGGAAAAGTGCCGTATGCATTCTAAGCGAGGATGCTAAGGAGGCTGCGCGTAATTCTGTGAGGGTCCTTTCCTTTTCACAAGATGAAAAGCGCGGACAGTACTACGGCAAGGCGCGGTGGCCTGCACTGCAAATTAAATTGGTGTATGTAGCGCGTAAAGCGCGGAGAGGAGCCAGTGCACTGCGCTGGCCTTCCCCTTGGCTGCCCCTGGCCCTGGCTGGCTAGCCCTGCAGACTGATTCCGAGAGCCATTTTCGTCGCTCTATCTCTCCTGCACTCATGGGGTGTCCCGTGTATGTGCGAGAGAGACAGAGCGACGAAAACGACTCCAACAAACGTGTGCTGGCCCTTGGCCCCGCACGCAGACGGCGCGGACGCCCAGACTCCTCGGCCCCGCGCTGGCCGTCTGGCTGCAGGTCCCTGTGCAGGTCTGCAGGTGGAACCAGCTGGGCCTCTGGGCCTGTGGGTCTGGCTATGCCCTGCTCGGCCCGGCGGCCCGGCCCGGTCCGCGGGGCCGCCTCGCCTTCCCCGTGTCCTGCCCGCCTGCCCGCCCTGCCCCTCTTGGCCCCGTTCGCCCCGTTCCCTTCCCCCGTCCGGCCGGCCTCCTCTCCGAGACTCCTCGCCGGGCCGCGCCGGGCTGGGCCCCTAGCCGCGCCGGGCTGTGCCTGTGGCCCCACCGGTAGTCGACCGCGTGCAGCAGAGCCGACGCCGTCCGTGGCGCCGCGATCCTTGCCGTGGACGAGGAGGCCGTGCCCGAGGTGGCCGCGAGTGTGTGCGTGTGACATGTGTGCGTGAGAGTGCGCCATGAGTGCGGTGCTGGTGTTGCTGCTGGTGGCGCTGGCCGCCGGGCCGGGGAGGCCGGAGAGTTCGACGCGGGGGTCGGACGAGAACGCGAACGCGACCGTGTGGTCGGCCAGGACGGTGGTGGACGCCGCGGCCGGCGCCAGCAACGCGACCAACGCGACGACGGACAGGGGCCTGGACAGCGGCAACCCGTTCTGGGACCGCCTGTACTGGGAGTGCGGCAAGCGGACGTCGCTGCGCTGCGTGCAGAAGAGCGCCTTCCGCTTCCTCAAGAAGTCCCTCGGCGAGAAGGACGTGTTCGTGACGGACAGCCTGGTGTTCCGGCACAACCACAACGCGGCCGTGACGCCGCACCCGCTGGCCGGCGTGGCAACCATGCTCTCCGGCGAGCCCGCCGCCCTCAAGCACGACGACGGCGCGGACAGCCTCGAGAACGAGCTGCTGCAGCCCAACGCGCTGCCCTCCGTGGAGGACCTCACGGACGACCTGTACGACCAGGGCATGAGCTTCATCAAGTCCCACGACGTGCACCTCAGGCTGCCCTCGCTGCTTGGCGGCGCCGAGGTGCGCCTGTCGCCGCGCGCCTTCGAAGAGGACGGAGCCACGTTCAAGATCTCGTTCAGCCGGCCGCACGTGGACCCGGCCCTGGACCAGGCCCTGGACCAACAGCGCGCCGCCCGCTTCATGTTCAACGTCAACAAGGGCAGCATCCTCAAGAGAATAACGCGTGAGTGTCGCCATTCGCTTTCTGGCGTAGCCGTCGTCCAAGCATACTGATGCCGACAGCCGTTTTCGTCGCTCTGTCTCTCGCGCACTGTCGGGAGTCTTGTATAGGTGCGAGAGAGACAGAGCGACGAAGACGGCGGCTCTCAGTCTTCAGCAAGGCGTCCGGCGCACAGTGGGCCGGAAGGCCGGTGGAGGTGGCCAAAACTCTAGACGCGTTTTGAGCTCCAGAGTCGCTGAACAGGACTCGAACCGAGCGTTTGACCCCACCAATGGATTCTTCGTTCGGAGAGCAATCCATTGGTGGGGTCACACGTCCGGTTCGAGCCCCATTTGGCGACTCTGGAGCTCAAAACGCGTCGAGAGCTTTGGCCGCCTCCACCGGTCTTCTGGTCCACTGTGCGGCGCGGCGTCCAGGGGGCGTCGTGCCCATAGCGCTGCCCAGCGCCACCGCGCGGCTCGAAAGCGTGAGGCGCGGTGCGTGATGCGGCACGCAACGCAGCGCGCCTCGCTGGAGCGGCCGCTGGAGCAGCTGGAGCAGACGGACGACTCGCCGGGCGATAACGCCAGAAAGCGCAGCATTTGTTGTACAGTGCAGCGCGTCGCTCTGTCTCTCTCGCACCTGTAAGGAACGCCCCATGAGTGCGAGAGAGACAGAGCGACGAAAGCGACTCTCGGAATCAGTCTGCATGAGCTAGGTCATGACGCGGCTCGTTGGTGGGGTCAACGGCGGCGTCTGGTGTCGCGGTGCACTCGAGTGCCGGAGCAAGTGCCATCAAAAGAAAAGAAGGCTCCATCAGGACGGACAGGTCGCGTGTTTGGGGGAGGGGAGGGGGAAGGCACATGGTACGGTCATTAAGAAGACAGATCGGCTCGTGTGCTTTAACGCTGATGCTTTCTTCCTCAACACTTTCAAAAAGCAGTTCCTTGAAAAATACGTTTGGCAATGGCCTCGTTTCGATACTCCATGAACGTGAGCGCTGCCTTCCTGGAAAAACAAAAGCCACCTTACCTGCGGCCGGCGGAGAAAGGGTGGGGACGAGCGTCAGCTGGTGCCCCAGCAGGCCGTGCCACAGTGGACCAGAAGACCGGTGGGGGCGGACAAAACTCTAGACGCGTTTCGAGCTCAAGATTCGCTAAATGGGACTCGAACCGAACGTGTGACCCCACCAATGGATTGCTCTCCGAACGAGGAATCCATTGGTGGGGTCACACGTTCGGTTCGAGTCCCATTTAGCGACTCTGGAGCTCAAAACGCGTCAAGAGTTTTGTCCGCCCCCACCGGTCTTCTGGCCCTGTGCGTGCCCTGGCGGCGGTGACGGGGCAGTAGTTGTGCAGGAATCGGCCCAATCGCACAGACAGACTTAAACACACTCACACACACACACCCACACGCACACAAAGACATTCGCGAAATCCGAGCGGCATGTGTTACAATTATACACACGCACGAAGCGTGCAGACTGGGCGGGGCGGCGGCGGGGCCAAGTGGAGCGTCCAGGGGAGAGGGGGGAGGGGAGGGGGGAGAGAGGGACGAAGTTAGAGTGTACTGACCAGCGCGTGCTTCGAGGCAAGCGTTAGCGCGTTACCTCGCGTAAAAAGAGAAAACGCGGCGCGGCGGAAAAGAGGGGAGGGGGCGGGGAGGGGAGGGGGAAGCAATCCTCGGAGGACTGAACGAGTCTAGGTCAAGGTCACTTAACCGGAAGCCACGCAGTAGTATCCCGACCGTTAAGTTGAACGCATACTGCCCGAGTAGTGAAAACGTTTCATAATCCGGCTCATTCATTCATCGCGCGGTTCATTCAGCCATCGTCAGGTGCATTCTTTCATTCATCGCCCGGTGCATTCATCCATTCATAAATTCATCACTTGGTGTACTCAATCATGCATCGTCCAGTGCATTCACTCATTCATTCATTCATTCATTCATTCATTCATTCATTCATTCATTCATTCATTCATTCATTCATTCATTCATTCATTCATCACTTGGTGCACTTATTCATGCATCGTCCAGGCATTTATTAATTAATTCACCACTTGGTGCACTCATTCATGCACCGTCCAGGGCGTTCATTCAATCATCGTCCGGTGCATTCCTTCATTCATCGTTCGCCTCATTTATTCAGCCATTCACATCGCCCGGTTCCAACGTCACCATCCGGCTCATCGTTCATATCGTGCCACTCATTTGTCGCGCGGGTTCGGCGGCATTGTCCAGCCACTCACGGTCGACTTCAACAAACATAAATCACCTCTCCGACGGCCCCTTTCGCCGGTGATGGGAGATTTAGGAGAAATGCAGTGCGAAGTACGAAGAAGTACGCAGCTTTTGTTGAGAAGCGCGCCGGCAGAGCTCTGCTCGAGAAGTGGAGGCATTCCTTGGTGCGGGGCGTCTTTTATTGCAGCCTCCAGGCCTGGCCGTGCCGTGCCCCCGCCCCAAAGGGGAAAAAAACTTTGAATTCGGTGTACAAATTTTGTTTTTCGCGGAATTTCGGTGAATTTCAGTGAATTTCAGCGAATTTTGATGAATTTCAATGAATTTCAATGAATTTCGATGAATTTCGATGAATTTCGATGAATTTCGATGGAATTAAATAAATTTTCATTAAATTTTTCACAGCAAAATTCGTAAATTTCACAACAAAATTCAAGAATTTCATCACAAAATTGGGGAAATTTTCGGTGTGAGATTTCGTTGCCGCGGGCCCTGCAGAGCGACTCCGCATATCACCTTCGTCGCTCCGTCTCTGTCGTCAGGGGGCGGCCCGCATAAGTGCGAGAGAGACAGGCGACGAGGCTCTGTGCGGAGTCGGTCGGCAGTCGGCCGGGAGCTGTGCTGGGAGCTGCGAACGGTCTGTCTGTCCCCCCCAGCGCCCGCAAGGCCGCCAAGCAAGGCGACGAGGCGCGGGCGGCCACGGCTCAGACGAGCCCCGTTTGCATCGGCGGGCAGTGCGGGCTGCGGGCGAGACCCAAGCAGGTAGTCCGGGTCGGCCGAGAGAGGAGCGGTCTTGGCCCCCAAGGACAATTGCCTCTGGCTGCAAAATGTAAATTCGCTTCTAGAAGTCTAAGAGTAAAATAAAGGAGCTCGTTCAATGCGCCATGAAAAGATGTACAAGAGTATTTTTGAAATTCAGTTCTAGGTCTGGGCCCTTTGGGGAGATACACAAGAAAATGTGTTTCTATATTCCGTAATCAAATTGGGTTAAAACTCAAAAATGTCAAAAATCCAAAAAAAAATATGGCTTTAACCGCGTGGACATGAGGAAGCAGAAAATGGCGCTTAAAGTGTTAAAAAATTGAAAGCGACAGAATTTAAAAATTGGAGACAATAGGAGGAGTGCACCGGGCAGGCAGGCCGACCCTCGCACAAACACACATTCACACACACACGCACATGGCTCACTCTCGGGGGGGGGGGGGTCTGGGGAAGAGAGAAAACAGACGACAATGGCGTTTTACAATGAGGGTCTCTGGGATGATAGTCTTTTTTCACAAGTGGCTCACCCAAGTGATCTAATATTTGCTTTACATTAAAAATCTGAAAATTTCAAATTCGTCTTCCATTCCTTTCACTGCTTCAGAAACATGTTCGAATGAATTTCTAGGCCAATTTTGAGGGCAGCTGAGGTCCCAATATCCTGACGGCGTGGCGGCCGAGGGAGGCTTCTCGGCCCAAGGATGCAGGTCCCCGCCCGGCTCCCCCCTCCCCCCCCCATTCCTTCCCTCGGCAGGGCTCCTTGACCTTGCCTAATTGGGGGAACGTCTGCAAACAGTGTGTCACTTCTCGGGGACGGGGCCCTTTTTTCCTGGCCGTTTTTCCCCGAAAACCTTCTCGAACCTTCTGGAACGGTTTTCGGACGGCCCCCTGGCCGCCCGGGGATGACGTAGGTGAGTGCTCACAGCACGCCTAGCAACGCGACGGAAAAGCGGGGATACATTCGCGCCAAACCAAGGGATGAACATGGCTACTTTTAGTCCCGACGCCGCGTAATTTTTTCAGGGCCTTCCAGCCGCAACGGCCACTCAATGCTAGACCGGTTTCTTAGGTCTGTAGACGGTCATTTAGACCAAAACTAGACCCAGAAAAATCGAATGCTTCCGACGGTATTAGAAGCCAGGCTGCTTCAGCCTAAGCGCGCATACCGGAGAAATCTTACCGCATAAAATTCAAATAAATTGCATGAAAATGATTGTTTTCTATGCACTTCCACGTTTTGTACAAGTATATTTAGTTTTTGTATCAATTTATATATTTTTTCCATTTAAATGAATCTTAATTACTTTTGGACCATAATTCACGTGGTTTCTTGAATTCCCGGGTCAAAAAACATGAATTTCGATGAAATTTTAACGAATTTCAGACCGCAATCCATGAATTTCGATGAATTTCAATGAATTTCGATGAATTTCGGACCGAAATTCATGAATTTCAATGAATTTCGACGAATTTCGGACCGAATTCGTGAAATTTTAATAAAATTTTGTGAATTTCAATGAATTTCAATAATTTCGGCTTGAAATTCATGAATTTTGAATTTCGGTGTACAAATTTTCAGGAGTTATTTCCCCTTGCGCCGCACTGCCGCACGTACGTGAGAAAGTTTTCTAGCTCGCTGAGCTAATGCCGTGTTGCTGCATGCGCGTATTATCGTGTTATTATTTGACGGCGATTGAATTAGCCACAGCCCGGCGGGTCCGGCAGCGAGAGCGCTTTATCACTTCGCGTTGTTCCAATTGCTCTCCGTGCTTCGAGCTCAGCTCACGCCATGCACCCATTCCGAGCGGGCTTTCGGGCTTTTTCCGCGGCTCTCCCTGAGAGCTTTTTGTTTTTCGGCTGCGCAACAACACTGTAACAACACACGCGGCGCGGTCACCGCAAACGCATTCGCGGTGCCGTACTCACTTAAGGGCTGCGGGGAGGAACGGAAAAGGAACATCCGCAAAAAAAGAAAAAAAAGCAGAGCGCCACAGCAACAATTGCTGTCAGTCCGGAAAGAAAAA